CCCTCAAATGTACTGTTTACAGTGTAAATTTTACATCCATTTAAAAAAAGGTTTTAGGAAAGACCCCTATTTTTGCTGAGTATTATTCCACCCTTCAAGGACAGCAAATCTCTTTCTAGGGATAATGTTTTTTAAACCAGTAGCAACTTTGTAGTAAAATTGATTTGGACTACAATTGTGAAGCTATTTGTGGTGTTAGCATCCAGTATTGCCTGGTATCAATCATTTCCAAATTGTCTTGCCTCAAAGCAGATCCTTAAAGTGCTTCTCTTGTGTGTTATCTATTAAAAGCTTAAACCTCCAGTCCTGCCTTTTTAAGACAGAAGATTAACATTGTGTGAAAAATCTTTGCATTCTATTCCAGGGTTTGTTTGAATCAATAAGGGCAAATGCTTCACACCAAGAACGCCTGCCCAACCCTGTTGATTGACTGACTTTCTCTCAATAGAGCTGATGGCTCCCTGAATAAAGAAGGCAGCAGCAGTTGTTTGCTGAAAAGGCCATGCTGAGGAAGCCCTATTCAAGGCTGAGGCATTTTCTACTCTGTAGATATTTGCAGGTGCAATGAGATGGCCCTCTGCCACCAGACAGATGAATTTTAGAGTCCTTGTAAGCATCATAGCCAAATTTTAATAGCTATCCTGTTGTATGACAGAGTTAACTTGTAATAGTGACCTTGGCCTCAAACAGATGGCTGAAAAGGGCCATTGTCAGGCTGATCTGGGGGTGAGGTGTGCACATGAGTCATTCCTCCCAGATCACTTGGAGGCTATGCCAGGGCCACTGAATGTGGCCCAAAACCAGCTGCAGGCACCCTTGGGACCATCGTGTATGGTTGTCATGGTCCCACCATAGTCCCACAATGATCAGGGCAGGCATGGTCTCCGGCTGCTCCTACTGCCCCATCTGCTTTGCCCCCTTGTTGGATACTTTTTGCATTAGTGTTGCAATCTGAGGCTGGGAAAAGGTACAAAGGCTGAGAACAGAGTAAGGACAGATTCCCCCCCCCCCTTTTGCTAACTTGCTTTCACAGTTCTTATAGCTATGAGGGAATATATGGGTCACGCTTGCACACTTTTTGTTTGCACACTTTCTGTACTATATAATGCTTGGGAGTCCATCTTCCATCAGCTTCAGCCAGAAAGGGTGCACCCCAGCTCAAGCTCCCCATATATCCAACAATGGGGCATTTGATTGATTATCAAGGGACAGTTAGCACAGAATTCATTTAGGGGCCCAGTTCTACTATTTTTACAATTACAGTACCACTTGCTACTATTGGTTATGAGGATATAACCCCAAAAGGATTGGAATGCACAGAGATGCCTTGGTGGATGACCTTTGCAGGGAACTGGACAGTGGAAGCATGTCCCTGTTGGTCCTGTTAGATCTCTCAGCAGCTTTCAGTATCATCAACCATGGTATCCTTCTGAGCTTCCTTTCTGGGATGGGACTTGGGGGCACTGCTATGCAGTGGTTTTGGTCTTTCTTGGAGGGACGGACCCAAAATGTGGTGTTGGGGGACTCCTGTTCAACTCCTTGGCCTCTGGCCTATGGGGTCCCACAGGGTTCTGTCTCCCATGTTGTTTAACATCTACATGAAACCACTGGGAGAGGTCATCTGGAGTTTTGGGTGCGGTGTCATCAGTATGCGGATGACACCCAACTCCATCTCTCCTTTCCAT